AATGTGATGGAATTTTGCATTGCTCGAAAATTTTTTTTCGCGAAATTATGAAAAAAGCTGAAAATCAAAAATTACATATAGTTGAAAAGTCGCGTGCAAAGATCAACTTATAATTCGAAAACTACGTAAAGTTCTCTAAAACATTCGTCTAATTAAAAGACCTGACGGACCGGTACTCACACTTTTTTTTACTAATAATCTTTAGCATCTACATTGCAAAGTAAATTTTTTGATAAGAAAATAGGAAAGTACCAAACAAATGATAAATACATTCTCCTGAATATTCCACGACATTTGAATAATTGATTACAGTTGAAAAAGAAACATTTTCTTTAAGGGGTTAGTCGCCAAAGGCAACTAGTCGGAATCGCGCCCATTCCCGTATTTTGTTGGAAAAGTATCGTGCGTGAAGGGGCTGAGTAAATAATGAACAATTTGGTATTTATGATTTTTACTTTTTCCTCTCTAAGTCCAACCGGTTTTTTTTTATCAATTTTCACCATGACTTTTTTCTACCCGCCTCTATATATTCGAAACACTGTGCGCTGCCTAAAGGGCTGCGATCGGGCGCAACGCGAGCCATTTGGGACCGTTATAGGGAACGGAAGAAGGAAGCGAAACGTATTTGCCGCAATAAGAGAGAGGCCGAAATACGTGAATGCGAAGAGCTTGAGATGCTGGACAGGAAGAACGCCAGAAAATTCTACCAGAGGGTTAGGCGACTTACGGAAGGTTTCAAAACCAGGGCGAACTCCCGTAAGAACAACAATGGCGACCTAGTGACCGATGCCCAGAATGTACTTAAATTGTGGAGGGAACACTTTTACAATCTACTGAATGTTAGCAGCGCTGAAAGTAGTGGAGAAAACGAACCCGAGTCCCCAGTTGATGATGATGGAATAGCTGTCCCACCGCCTGACTATGACGAGATACGAATAGCGATTACGCGGCTGTAAAACAACAAATCTGCTGGAGCTGACGGCCTGCCAGCCGAGCTATTCAAGTACGGCGGCGAGGAGCTGATGAGGTGCATGTATCAGCTCGTATACAGAATATGATCAGATGAACGCATGCCCGACGACTGGAATTTAAGTGTGCCCTGCCCAATCCACAAGAAAGGCGACCCGCCATTCGCGCCAACTACCGCGGAATCAGTCTTCTAAGCATAGGTAATAAGGCCTTATCGAGTGTATTGTGCGAAAGACTGAAGCACACCGTCAACGAACTGATTGGACCTTATCAGTGTGGCTTTAGGCGTCGCAAATCCACCATAGATCAAGTATTCATAATACGCCAAATCTTGGAAAAGACCCGCGAGAATAGGATCGACACACATCATCTATTTGTCGATTTCAAAGCCGCTTTCGAGACCACGCAAAGAAGTTGCCTTTATGTCGCGATGTCTGAATTTGGTATCCGCGTGAAACTAATACGGCTGTGCAAAATGACATTGAACAATACCACAATCTCCGTCAGAATAGGGAAGGACTTCTCCGAGCCGTTTGACACCAATCGAGGTTTCGTGTGATTTCTTTAATCTGATGTTGGAGAAGATAATAAGAGCCGGAGAACCGAACCGCTCAGGTACAATACTTTACAAGAGCGTGCAATTGCTGGCGTATGCCGACGACATCGATATTATTCGTAAAAACAAGGGCTACGTCTGTTCTGCCTTCTCGGGATTGGATAGAGAAGAAAAGCTAAGCAAAACGAAGTATCTCCTGTCATCACACAAACAGTCAGATCATACGCGTCTTGGCACCCACGTCACTGTTGACAGTTACAAGTTTGAAAAACTAGACGGCTTCGTTTATTTGGGAACCAGCATTAACACCAATGGAGAATCATTCTTGCCAACAAGTGCTACTTTGGGCTGAGGAGGCAGTTGAGAAGTAAAGTCCTCTCTCGTCTTACAAAGATCACACTCTATAAGTCACTCATCACGCCTGTGCTGGTGTATGGCGCGGAGGCATGGACAATAATGTGGCGGATCTTGGAGTTTTCGAGTGAAAGATTCTGCGAAATATTTACGGACCTTTACGCGTTGGTGATGGCGAATATCGCAGACGATTTAACGATGAGCTGTATGAGCTTTACAACAATATAGACATAGTGCAGCGAATTAAAATTCAGCGGCTCCGGTGGCTTGGCCATGTCGTTCGAATGGACAGAAACGCTCCTGCTCTGAAAATATGCAACACGGGCCGCGATGCTGGTAACAGAGAAGAGGAAGGCCTCCTCTGCGTTGGAAAGACCAGGTGGAGCAGGACTTGGCTTCACTTGGCATTTCCAATTGGCGTCAGTTAGCACAGAGGAGAAATGACTAGCGTGCTGTTTTGGACTCGGCCAAAATCGCTTAGGCGGTTACAGCGCCAATAAAGAAGAAGAAGACGAATAAGAAAACCCTATAAAAGAGGTAAAATCAATTAACGAAATAGGCTAGAAAAGGGAAAATAAAATAACGAAATAGGCAGGAAAAGGAACTAGAAATCGCAAAAAAAGCAAAAGAAGGCACTAAAAAAAGTAAAACACCGAAAGATGATCAAAAAATACATTTATTTTAGAAATGTTTATTTTACAGGTAAGAAGAGAAAAACTAAATAGTTTCATTATAAAAAATGTCTACTTTGAATCTTGGACTATTTTCTCAATTCGAGTTTTTAACTCACAAAACTTTAATCTCTATAGTTGTAGTAACATTGAGCCACAAGATGCATTTTGAAGTTTTCTGTCAGCATTTTCATTGGATGTACTGCGTTCGACGTGAGTTGATACAAGTGGCGCCCAATTTAAATATGGAACGTTTAAAACGTTCATATTATCAGAAATAAGGGATTTTTCCTTGCCATTTACAACTAAAGGCCAGTACGCAGCTCTCAAAAAACGGACAAGAAAAAAATTGCCATTATTTCGTGTGTATGTCCAAGGAATTTTGATATCTGATACTTCACATCCTGTTGCCTAACTCTTTCTTCAAGAAATAATGGAACTGAGCATATATTTCTGTTGCAAACATGGGTTGCCTTGTGCTCTTTTTCACAAAAAAAACTTTAGAAAACCTTACTAGAAAGCGTAGCAATTTCTCAAGAAATGTGTACTGCCCTAAGGAAATTTGACACAAGAAAATTTCTTAGCCATTTTTTGTACGTCATTTGCTTTTCTTTGTGCGTTTGTGCTTTTATTGAGATAAGGTAGAAAAGGCAAAAGAGGTCAAAAAATGGAAACATCAAATGTGTATATATGGAATCGGAAAGCTAAATCGTGGACATGGAAAAAAGGCAGTTTCCATAAAATCCGTTCCCTGCTCATGATCAAGGGGGTTTTCCGCATCGCGTAACTACCTCCTTGCAATCCTTTGTATTTGCTTATCCTGCCTCACTTCATTGCATGATGCTTCGATTAGAATGTGGAATGCATGCTATAAATTTTTAATTTATCTTATCCTTAAAAAACCACTTTAATATCATAGATTGCTTCAAGTGAATTCTAGCACTTTACACTTTAATTGCCAAAACAAAACGTCATAAAACAAAATAGCTGACTTCGAAAATTGAAATTGTTCGCCCCGATAGTTTGAAATAGGGGGATTTTATTCTGGAGAAAAGTGAAATCCGCGAGAAATGAAATCATCGGGAATATTCAGAATTAGGCTGTATATGGTTCCTTAGCCAAGGAAGATCTCCAAAAGCAACTTGATGAAAAAAAGGTTTAATTTTTCGTTGTTCTATTAACACGTTTTACGTTTTTAATGTTTTGAAAAATTTTTATAAAATGTTTACTAAGCGATGCCTCCTGCCATATACTTTTTCGAATATTTTGTCCGAGAAAAGTTGGAGAAAAATTATAAAACGAACACATTCTCGATACAATCAACGAATATAAAAGCAAAAATACAAACTTCCTTTTGAAATTCGAGATTCTCAGGTGAGGCGGAGCTCGAGGGTAAGAGAAACTATCGTGAAACTCGTAACATACGCTAACATATGATCCTTGGTCGGGTGGGTAGTTGAAAATATTCAAATTTTCTTTTATTTGAAACTGAAAGTGCGATTTTTTTTGTGAGATTGAAAATTTGAAATTTGAAGCTTCAAAAATATTCAAGCTGCCTCCCTGCCAGCATTTTCTATTGCGGAAGTTACTAATTCGACACGACATTTCTTTGAAAATTATCGCCAATGATATCGCTATTTTTTCGAAATCTTATCCGCTCTCGGGGAGAACTCACCAAGACGTCACGTCTTTATGGTACGAAAGCGATACTGCAATCAGGAACTATTTCGATAGGAATAATAGTAACTTGTGCGATAATGTCAAAGTCGGAAGTGTTACAGAAGATTCTTGGGTTGGTTAAATTTTTGATAAAACGTAATGAGAAATTTGGGATACTTTTGAGCTTGCAACCATAGCCGCAGAGTGACGCTATTTTCATCCTGCTTTCTGCTGAGATTACTAGCTCAAACGCACCAATATTTTATGGGATTCCAACCACATAAACATTTTAAAAAGCAGTTCTAAAACTTTATAGTAAAAAGGAAATCAAATAACGCATCTGTTTAAAATTAAACGTAATTTTATTATTATTATTTACTTGATTCGAATATGATTATGGGAAATGATAAATAATAATAATAATAATGGTACAATTTCACCATGGAATATGATTTCTTGCTCGTTAATTGAAAAATCAAAAAAGAATTGAGAATATAAAAGTATGAATAATTTTACGGGAATAATTTTCAAAACTTCAAAGAGTAAAAATCGTCGGAGCACCTTTTAAGAAAATAGAAAAGCGACAGAAATGTTTTTTGATTTTGTAAAATGAGTTACTATCGCTTTGATAACTTCCAGTAGTGACGAGGAACCGACATCTTCCAATTGCTGGCAGGGCTCTCAGCGGTTTTACCTTCAAATTTTTGTGTCATGATAGGTACTTACATATTTTCTTCGAAACTGAATAAAATTCAAACTAATTTGTTTTGATCATTTTAATTTTTTTTCAGGATCCTACTTGTTCTAAATCGTCAGGCAGCGCACACTTTGCCCCAATAGTGCAACAGACGCATAGAGTAAGTGCTGATCCAACGAACAACAATTTCGAACATCATCATCATAATCGTCGTCACTTTCGTGGTGGAAGACGCCATCAACAACATCATCATCACCATCGAGGCGAGCGTGAGCGAGAGCGGGAGCGTGACCGTGGAAACGCGATCGCCAGCAACAGTGGAAGCAGTAGCGGAGGGACGAGTGCCAATGCGTCGACATCCATAGGCGGTAAACAGACGAAGGCCCATGTAGCCAATAGCATGCATGGCAGGTGACGATTGGTACGAGTTAAAGCACTGCCTTATATCAGGCACACGAATAGTAGCAGTCTAAATTCTTATAAAAGATGCATCGGTTATATCCAACACATGTTACGGGCTATTGCATTGAGAAATATGCTATCCGCTTTGCCGTGGTATGAAGCTGACATTTAGTGTGTAACCTTTGTAATTATTTGGTATTCAAGTGATTTTAAGTTTATTTTTGTTATAAAAGTCCACTTCGTTTACCGCATTATGTAAAGTGACAACAACATACTCCTGTGATGGAACAGAACCAAGTACCTTGTTATTTGTAAAGTGGAGATAATTAAGATTTTGTGTAACTAATTTCTGTTTTTTTTTATACATTTATTTTTCGTACCTTGTTGTATTGCAATTTTACTTTTTTGTTACTTGGTTCTATTCTATCAAAGGAGTATAGCAAATGACAAATCGCACAAGATTACCGTTGCTGTTTCACCATAAAAATGTTTGTTAAGCTGGCAGGCATGACCTCAAAAGCTCTTGGTCGCTTTTGAATAGCGAATCGAATACGACTGTAATTTAGTGTTACGAGGATTATGAAAATACGCACATTCATATTAAATTCAATATAAATTAAAACATTATAAGTGCGATAATATAAAATTCGGTGAAAATATGATCCTTTAGACAATCCTTTCCCGATCTGTAAATTCAGAAAACGGTTTTCACGTAATCTGGAACCAGGAATGTGTTTTTGAATTGTTTATGCATATAATTTCTAATTAGCAGTGGCAGATCATTTTTAAAACAAACAATAAGAAAATTGTGTTACATAAGCATAAATATGTATGTAAAAAGTATGCCTACATTGTATTTTGTCTTCGTTTTTTTGTGTGCTTTCCCCATTTAACACACTGAACTGTTTTTTTTTTCTGCAAACAAAAATAACTGTAAATATTTGTTTATTCAATTAATTTAATTAGTTCCAATGATTTTAAAGGTACTCGGCTGAAAAAGCTGTATTCGTAATCGGAATGCCGTCAAAAACACTATCAATATACATAGGGAATCCGGCAGGGACTACCACAAAGAAATTCAAGCGGAAAAGTCTGAACGGATTTGCATGAAATTTTGCAAGCATATAGCTTGTGATCTACAGTGGAAAATAGGCAAATTTTTTGGAAGAG